GATGTCAATCACTGCTCTGGCGCCCTCCCAGATCTCGAGGAAACGTGCCTCAATAGTATAGAGGAATCTCACGCTGACCTTTTGGCAACCGTAATACTTCCCGGTATCATGGCTTGAAAGTCTACGCTATTTCCCAGTTGTGCTCGAAACCCGTGATACCACAGAGTCGTTGAACACATCGTATCGACGAAAAGACAGCAGTCCAGTCCATGGAGGCAAAAATGCCTCAGGTTGACTGGGGTTCAGCCCTGAGGGTGTGCGATATTTTCAAAAGATGGCGTTTCTCGTGTTGAGTAGGCTGTTCTAGCTCCCGCGTGCCGGCGAATAAGGCTGCCAACGTCCCGTGCGGCTGTGGCCGCTACGCTGGCGCCCATGGAGATCTTTGCAGTAGCGCGAAATCTCATTGGCTTCGGATATACCAACCACATGCGTAAAGCGCTTGGTACGAATGGGATCAAGAGCTGCGATCGCCATGCTGCACATTCCAGGCAGCGATCTATCGTTCCATGGTGATAAAGCTATGAATACCTAACGTAAGATCAGTCAGCGTCACGTTACACCGATGAGACCCAATCTACTCCACGTTAGCAAGGTGATCTCTTTGGGAATTACGGCTTTCTAAGTTTTCGAAACACTTATGGATGTGAATACTCGGCTCTGAAGTCGGATACGTCAGATGCTGTGCCGCTTCTCCACATAGCGACTAAGACTCATGCAGTCATCCTTATGTCGGCCATGGCTGTGGGCCCTTGACTCGTTCCCAAAACGAGACGTACGAGAGTGAGTTGTGGGCGTTATTATTTTGGGGACCCCTGTCCAGGTCTCGATGCAAGAAGTTTTGACGAAGATAAGGACGATGTACCATTGTACGTTGTAGTGTTGCAGCGCGCGACAGAGGCCAGCCTCCCGTTGACGTGAGATCGGACGAGCCGATAAACATCACCTATGGATGACATACGAAGAGTGGCAACTAGCCAATGAAGGACATGGTCCCGTTGGATACAAAGGGATATGTAGGCCATACTTCCAGGGCGTGGACAACAGCTGATCTCCTTGGCTATTCGGTCCGTGGAGTGAGAATTGTCGACGATGGCAACTGGTCCTGTATGACGACCCATAATGCTTGACAATGAATATGATTGATTGCCCTGAATTTGGACATTTGAGGGAGCAGAAGTAAGAAGGGAATTGTTATCGACATTAACCTTTGATAGAGCACCTAGGTTGTTTTGACTCATTAGTTGCTCGCCTTTTTCACAATACCTACTAGAGTGTTACACATGGATTCCCTCGCGCTCAGTCTTGTTCACAGGCAAGGACTCTGACGCAGTCCAGAGCTCGATCCCATTTCGTTTCTAAGTCACAAAAACACCCTTGGTTGTCTGCGAAACACTTGGAATTGTTGGAGTATCAGTCCAGTCATAGGTATCGCTTCTAGAATTCTTTATTAAAAGATGAAAATAGTGTCAACGCCCAGTTCTTGTTATCGGATTCGGCTATCTCATTCAGTACTGACAGGCCTCGTTTTCGCCAAGGGCTGGATAGAACAAATAAGGGCCTAGAAATCCTTTGAAGTAATTGATCAGTCTCCAATATCTTCCATCTTTGTAGATTTCATAGGGATTGAAAGTATGCGATCTACAGTGGCTTTTTTCTATTTTCATTTAGATGAAGATACCCTTGATAATTTAGTGTATCTGTAAATTTTTGGTATTTATTATTGTAATAGCATGAAGTAAAACTTTCTTTCATGAACTCCTCTTATGTTATCCTTTCAAGATGAAAAACGTATAAGCACTTGGTACGAATGATACTTCATAATACGCTGATGTTTTCTTATAACCCAGGGCTCTCAACATTTGGTCTAGTTGAATCAACCTAGCCAATTATGTGACGAGAGATAGACATGTAGCCTGTGACATGACGGGCGTATCCATATAATTATATGTGGCAATTTGGTCACCAGCTAGCTGCAACAAATCGGCTCCAATGCATGTATGCACTCTCTGGTGACCTTCAATTCCAACAGTTACCATAGCTTGTGCCCGAACAAAGCTTCATGGGGGGAGGGGGGGTGCATCAAACATGCACGATGTACACAAATTTCCATGTCCGAGAGAAACCTTAGCCTTAGAAGTAGATCGTGTTCGTTTCCATCGTTTTAAACTAGAGCCATGATCACTTCATGGCGGGTTTGAAGCTCATCCAACACTGTCGAACTCGTCGTCTTTCATTTTCGAACGCAGGTCACCGAAAGTATTCTCGCATATACTCTTTTCCAGACAACCGTACGGGCAAGCATAAAAAGCAGAATCGGAGTCTTAAGTATGTCCTTCAAGACTTTGGCCTAGCCAAATGGAATTGGTCGTCACATAAGGTCGCTTGATGTTTTGAGTAAGGCCTAACCCGTCCTACCGAGCACTACCCCAACCGCTTCCTGCGAGCCTCCAATGAATAGCGTGCCCCAGTTCATGTAACGTAGCTAATCCAGACTTTAGCATGGAGTGAAGCGTGCTGTCATCGTTGCTATGGCTTGGCGACAAGTAGGAACTTGGAATGCTTCCACTTTCTGAATTATCCCAACCGATATTGTTCACATCAACGGAAAATACAAGTGTTGTAAATTTGACTTTTGGCAAGCCTGCTCTCGATGATATATTCGCCTGTCACGTTTTCATTCCAGTCTATCTCTCTAAGTCGGTCTTCTTCCATATCACCCGCAGACAAAATGGACTCTCAGCCGAAGCGTGATCGGGCCTTCCTGAAGCTCTAGTCAGTACTCAAGCCTTCTCCTGGACAATTTTGAATCAGACGTCTAGGACTAAGGAGCTGAGCTGATGTAGGGGTAGACTCTGGCCCAGCACACTTTCTGCTGAGTGTGTCTCTGAGTCCATTTTAGGCATCGAAAAGATGAATGTGTGCGAGATTAATATCTGCCGTATCAACACGAAGATAGTTATCAACGGTGGTGAAGTATTGGAGTTTAAGAACGAGGTGGGAATGAGCCACACCCTGGGAACAGATCAAGTATTGATGATGAGATTCTGTGGGAGGCTCGCAACGACTAACCCCCCATCGGGTCAATTCGAACCTATCTTTCTCAGCTCCCAATTGGTAATCAACCATGATTACTAATTTCAAAGATGCCATTACGTTAGTGAACAGACAATAGTGGTGTGCAAATTCGCACAGATTGTGTGCTGCTTTCCCACCGTTCGCTCATCATCGAGTTTCGGCGAGGGCATGCATCCCCGGATTCCTGCTGATGCCTCCCCTCAGTGCTCACAGAATAGGAGAAACATGTGGCATTGGTGAAGCCTGCGAATATGAGTCTGTTGTATCTACGCTATGCGATTTGCTTGTGGCAGAGGCGTGGTCACGAGCCTACATCTGCATGAGCACAATGTGACCTTTGGCCTTGATCCTAACGCCTCCATCACGCCATCACAATCTTGTAAGCTGCTCCTGGTAGTCTTTCGAATCATTCGGCTTACCGAGATAAAGAGAAGGTATTCAGCAACCGTCGGGCTTTCGGTGTCTTATCTTTGTCAGGCATGGCAACATTTCCGCATATCCCCTCTCTGAGGCGCAGTTCTTCCTGGAAACTTCACCGAAATTACAACCTTTAAGAAGTATGTTAGTGCGTATGTACAGATTACAAACTGTTTATCATCTTCTAAGAGGCCTCCTATAGTATTGGGACCATGGAGGGGACTAGGGGTTGATGTGGTGGTGAAAGGAGGCTTCTGAAGCACTCCCTCCTCATCTGACTCGGCTCTGAATATATTGATCTTACGGCATGGGAGAAGCTCCGTTCCTTAAAGACCTTGAGAAATGGGGCTTAACCCTGGTCACAAGTGCCCTACTTGTCAGGATTGGCTTCGTCATCATATTCCTATAGAGGGCTTGGCTACCCCGGCATGACATGAGCACAGGAAGTTCAACAACACCGAAGTCAAATATAGTGTATAGTCAGTGGTCAAAGTCTGATTGAAGATGATCGAATTTGTGTGTATTATACAGAACATAAGTTACTTCATGAGACATTCGAATATGGTCTTGTAAACCTTCCGATCTGCGACTGTGGTCAAGTTGAACACCTCCGTCACAAACTCAGACTCCTACGGCTTTAATGCGAAGAACGCGGATAATGCGTGCTCAGAAGAGCTCGCTCTGAAATTCGCAATACTGTAGTAGAAATAGCGATAGCAGAACGCCCTGCCGGATGAAGCCATTGAGAGCAACGCTTTGCGCCTTGAGTATTTCAGACCCGCCATAAGGAGAAGCTCGACTGTGCCATCAGGCTGAATGAAGTTCGAGACCCGGAAATTGAGACTCGTTTTCCACGTAGAAGCGTGTGGTCAAGATAATATCTGGTAAACAGATCCTCGAAGCATACACTATTCGTGATACATCGGGTGGGATCACATTCTCCAGTGCTCGATGGTGGTTTTCTAGATCTACTACAGCCAAAATGAAGTAGTGGTCTAACTCATCATACTCGCCAGGTACACATCCAAATGCAACTCACGTTCTTGGCGAACACCAAAAACTCAATCAAGCATGCAAAACGTCAAAAGACATACAACACCAGGGATTCGCTGGTCGTCACCGACCCAACTACTAGTCTGGCCCTCACTGGCTTATCTATGGGAGAGCGGACGGGATCCCGAGTTCTCCAGTGGGTGTGGTCGTATGTGATGATCCTGACCAGTTGGACCAGCCAAGGAGGGCCGAGTCCAGGGGAGAGGTGCCGCGGAGTCAAAGGTTGACGATGCCCAACAAATTCCCGACTAACAACGAGAGAACATCATGTAAAGTTATGACTAATACTTTCTTCGATCCTACGCCTGACCTCAAAACGCCGCTCCCTCCTAATGCTTCTATGTGTATCGTTTCCGGGTCTTCCGGACTTCATTAAGAAAAGGCCGTAAAGGGTATGATTTGGAAAACACGAAAGGAAAAATCGGAAAATAGACACAACGCTCCACCGGCTCTGCTCATTTCCGGGTAAACCGAGAGAAGAAACTCTTCTTTGGCTCCTTGTCCTTGTCTCTCTCCTTCTTGAGACCCCTCGACTTGCTGGCCTCTTCTTGGGTATTGAGCTGCGTCGTGTTGTCGTTCATGACCTGTTGAGCATGCGAGACAGTTCCAGGGTGAGGACCCGGCGGTGGGCCCGCTGGTGGACGTGGTGGTGGCGGCGGTGGTGGAGGGCCCGGATGACCCGGAGGCGGCGGACCGGGGGGCGGTGGACCCGGGGGCGGCGGTAGCGGAGGCAGTCCGTACTGATACTGCGGCGGATACGGGTTCTGTCCGGGTGGTGGCGGGAATGTATACGACATTGGCGGTCCGCCAGGGGGCGGTGATGCAGGTGACGGCGGCAGAGCGTAGCTTTGTGGTGGGGCCTCGAGCATCGGTAGCTGGTTCTGCTGCTCCTGCTTCTGCTCGTCTGAGAAGAGGTCGATGACCTTGCCGGAGCTAAAGAGTCTCTCATACACGGCGAGCGTGGTGCCAAAATCCTTGTGGCCGTCGACTTTGACGGCGTCGAGGAGCTCCAGGACGTAGGTTTGGCAGTTGTTGGTGATGAGGTTGTAGGCGGGCTGCCGTGACCTGATACTCTGAATGACGTATTCGCCTGCGCGACGGATGGCGTCGTCGTTGAAAGTTGTCTCGCCAACGGTGAAGGTGCGCCATTCTTCGCGCTTATATCGCTCATTGGTGTAGATGACATGAAAGCTCTCATCCTAGATGGGGTGGGTTAGGTCATGAAAGGGGATCGATGAGTGAGTGAGATGAGAGGACTCACCATCCACAGCTGGTGGGCGTAGTCGCCGACCAGGACAGCCCAGTGCTGAGTGGGATCGGGATACTTGTTGATCTTTTCTGTGATCATCTTCCCCAGACCCGTTTCTTCGGCGAACCACTTGCCGGCGAGGCCTCCGACGGGATGCCAACCGACCTCGACGACACGTGAGGGGCCATTGATGACGGGCTGTGTGACTGGGACGACATTGGGGGTCTGGCCCAAGCCGACGGCATGCTTTAAGGCGAGTTCGCCTTTGTTGTAATTCTTCTTTCTGTCATTGAGTCAGCGCAATTCCCTCAATCATTGACGGTGAGCATGGCGGTGTAGTCAAGCGATGGTTGACAATGAGGGGTTGGAGCCTCGTAGGGCTGGAATGGGGGAGGGGTCGCAAGATGCGTAAAGTGCATAAACTGGGAAAAGATGACGCGCATACAGGAACTCTCCCACTTTGTCCCGCTTTCTCTTCCCTTCCTCGTCGGATCCCGGTTGTGACATTGCGATATCCCAACGGCGCGGCGCGGGTTTAATGGGGTCAAATGTGTGTGTGAAGTCGGGTTGCGGGGGGAGGGAGGAAGGATTAAGTGAGCGCCGATAAGCGGCCAATTGGGGGTTCTTTGCTAGCTCTGGCGCAACAAGGAACGGCGAACAGTGACAGACAGGTAAGTTGGTGTTGTTTGTTTGTTGGTTGGATGGGGGCGTCAGATCTTGGAAGGGGAAAGGGGAAATAATTGGGGGAGCAAAGGCTGGGCGTCTTACAAATGGGAGGCCTTTGGACGTAAGGACGGAATACACGGCAAGTACGGAATTCGACCATCAGAAAACAACAAGAAAAATAAAACCAAGGCAGAATAAACACGATTACCGATTGCGAAACTTGCCATACGACCACAATCCACTGCCTCGATCCGATGGGCCTCGATGGCCGCGGGTTCGGGCTGACCGACACGTGGAGGCGCATTAACAATTTTTTAATCTAATTTCCAGCTGCACGGCGCCTCAGCTTGACCAATCAAACTCACGATGCGGCATCGAGTTGCTCTCTCCGGGGGCTAAAATCCACGCGGCCAAAGCGGCGCAGGCCTTGTTTTTTTTTTTTTTTTTTTTTTTTTGGCAACCACAGCAAGGCACAGTTGAGGCCGGAGCACAGCTGAGATGGGATGCAACAAGTAACAGCAGCAAGCCGCGGGTTCCGTCTGTCCAGCACTAATTGACCTCATGCACAGTCAACGGGCCGGTCCGACAAGGCTTCTTTCAACCTCTCAATGCGATTTGATTGTCAATGAAGGACCGTTGAGGACTGCCTTTGCTGCCTCCCGATCGGATTTTACCCATCTCTTGGCAGGCACCCGTTTCTCAGTCTGGAACTCAATACGCGTACTCAGTACGACAAGTCTCGCGTTCATATGAACGAGACGAAGGGATTTCATAGGACTGCCCCCTCGCTCATAATCGTTCCATTGCTGTGAGCCAAACAGTCCAGGACCCGGATATACGGCAATGCATGATCGACCATTATGAGATGGAGCGAAAGCATCACATCTGTACAAGCTCGGGCCCGTCGTTCACAAGTCTAGTCGTCATCCTTTTGGTGAGACTCGGCTGGCGATTATAATTTCATCACTTGATGTCCCGTGAGTAAAGATGACCACCTCTCATCAACCCTTATCTCACATGAGCCTTGAAATGACTCAGCATGCTTTTTGTTCAGATGATGTATGCTTCCTGACGTTCAGCCATCTGATCACTGAGCTCATGCCTGTCTACTCACTCTCGTCAATCCAGCGATATATTTGGTGAAATTGTCTGCATACGCCTTGCGAGAAGCTCAATACAATCTTGTCGCTACTATCACTGAGTATGCCGTAGTTCATTTCGGATTCACAGGGATATCTTGTATCATTTGTCTGAATGAGCAAGTCCGATACAGAGTTTCAATGACTAGACTCGTGGTTCCTGACCGCTGATGAGCAGCTTTTTCATGTCATAGATGATCGAAAAACGTCTTGTTCATCATCAAGCTTCGAACATATTGAAACTGTGAGACCATGACAAACATCATCAAGAAAGCCTCAACGTTATAAGATGTGCCACCAAATCCCATCCCACGACAAAACGCATAGACACTTCTCTCGCATCTAAGTAATCCAAGCCTCAACAACCTTCTCCCCCCTCATCGCATCCTCCAAAATCGCCTTCCGCCTCTCCTCCCCTCTCGGCACAAAATCAATCTCAAACCTCTCAGGCCCCATAACAAGATCAGAATGGAACCCAGTCTCGATACTCGTATCTAGCCTCTTCCCCCGCGCAGGGACAACATCAAATTCCCACGCCAGCTTCGCAATCGTCACCAAAATCTGGTTCTCGGCATAGTCCAGCCCGGGACACATCCGCCGCCCCGCCCCGAAATTATACGTCGGGTGCCTCTTCTCCCGCTCCGCCGCCGCCGCCAGCTCCGGCCGCACGCCCCACGGGTTGTCCATGTATCGCTCCGGTAGGAACTCGTCCGGCCGGTCGTACCACGCTTCGTCCTTGTGGATCCCGTATGTGTTTGTCAGGAACCTTGTGCCTTTGGGAAATGTGTAGCCGAGGTAGGTGTCTTCATTTGCGAGGACGCGGGGGACACCCGAAGGCGCAGCGGTGCGCCAGCGCATGGCCTGCGTGATCGATCCCCGTTAGCTCTCAACTCCGGCCAGCAGAAGGGGGAAGACTCACCTCATTAAAACAAGCCCTGAGATACTTCGCCCTCCCGAGATCCTCAAACCCAGGCGTCGCCCCAGGCCAAACCTCATCAACCTCCTCCTGAAGCCGCCTCTGCATCTCCGGATACGCACCCATAATAAGCACAACAGTACTCGTAGTAGCGATAACAGTATCAACAGCAGCATCCAACGTCCCCGCCCCCAAAACAGCAAGCTCATGACTCCCATACATCGGCCCCTTCCCCGCGAGCTTACTCGCCTCCCCCTCCCGAACCATCCTCGCCATAACCGACTCCGTCTCCTTCCCCCTCCTCCCGCTCGCAATCTCCGCAGCCTGCGCTTTAGCCCCGTCGAGCATGTGGTACATCGTCCCAAACATCCCCTTCTTCAACGTCGCCGCCTCCCGCTTCCACCCGGCGAGGAGCGCGGGAAGGTACTTCATCACGGGGAACAAGTCCACCGGCGGCGCTCGCGCGGGCGTGAGGAACCGCAACCACATGTCCTGCGTGGCGAAATACGTCTTCGTCGAAGCGACTTCATCTCCCTCCGCGACACGCTGCCCGCTCATCACAGAAAGCGGCGTGGCAAGAGCCCAATGTCTCAGGTGCATATGAAACTGCCCCGGATCGTCCAGAATCATCTTCATCAGCAAAGCAGCATGCGCTTCCTGTACCTGAACCACACGCTTCAGCTCACTGGGACCAAACAAGTGGTTCCGCAGCGCCGTGCGCAGCTTCTTGATATGATGATCATTATTCATAAACAGGATCGTGCCTGGGTTGATGAGCGTGCTCGTGATGTACGGCTGCGGTCTATCCGAGTATATCGCGCCTCGCTTCTCGTACAGTTCTCTGATGTGTTCTGCGCTAGAGAGGATGACGTAGTTTTCGGTGCCGATTTTGATGCCGAAGATGTCGCCGTAGGTCTTGCTCCATTCTTGGAACTTGAAGAAGGCCTTTTTAGGCGGGAGTTGGAGGGCGTTGCCGAGGATTGGGATGGGAGGCGGGCCGGGGGGGAAGTTGGGTGGTCTTCGTGTTTGGAGGACCCATTGGGTGAGGAAGCAGAGGAGGACTACGGCGGGGAGAATCAAGACGGCCGGGGAGCCGAAGAAGGATATGAGGCTCATGGTGGTGGCGATGTCTCTTGTTGTGGAAGAGCGAGTCGTCAAGGAGAGAGGGATGCGATCACGCGATCATACAATATGGTCAAGGGCAGAGAGTTGAGAAGTCCTCACACGTTGTCCCTCGGAAAGCAAACTACCACTCGTCAACCCTCCTTTTATGCTTATCCATCCCTCTCGGCAACCTAATCGACATGATCGCCATCGAAGCTCGTGTAACCTTCGCCAAGCACCTACTTGCGCGGCTCACGACATCTCACTCGCATCATATCGTGACATCGGCACTCTTCCCCATACCCGACTGGACAAGACCGATGTTCCCCACATAAGATGACCGTTATGATGACCGTCCGACGTTACAGCAAGAAGCAGGCTCATTGAATGTACATTGTGTTTCAACGGTCGATCCGCCGTTGGGGCACAGTTCAGTTGGTCCAACATTATAGCATGCCGTACGTAGGATGAGAACATTTGGCTACGTGTAACCATCCAACATCCCCTCTCGACGCGGAGTCGGCTGCCATGATCAGATCAAATACCTGCAAGCGATTGCGGGCCGAAAAGGATTTTGGCTCGAGCGACATGCAGTCAGCGACGCGATATACGACGCTGGCATGCGAGGACAGGCATCCGCGGCGTAAGCAGAGCTGGGATCATACCAAAAAACACACTTCCAACGACATTCTCGTACGTGGGTGTCAGCCAATCAGTTCAGAGGATTTCGTAACCTCGTTCGTTCAAGAGATCTTTGCCTAATCTGATAGACAATGGGCGTATTGACAGTAATTGCCGTTGCCCAGACATACCAGCGGGGCTTACTTAACAGGAAAGCTATAGCTACCGCCTCGCCACGTTACATGCCGTCAGGATTTGCCGCTCTCCCTCGGCGAGATATTGCCAGACCGGAAAAATGGCAAACGAGTCAACGATCAACCCCACCCACAAGAATCACGGAAACCAAAAAGAATTGGCTTAGACCTGATGTTAGTCATTTCCGAAACCGAGAATCGAACTCGGGGCTATGCCTAACCTCTCACTGGAGATGAGAGGGCATCATGTTGGCCACTACACCATATCGGATGGGTTGATGAAGATTTTGCTGTAGTGGAGGTCTACATTCGGTTGGCATCCGGTGGAGTGGACCCTCTGCTCACGTTGGCGGTCATCACACGATGTGGGGTTGGGGACTCTAGAAGAGCCCACTTGGAGGTTGCCTCACGCAGCTGAACAGGAAAGATCACATAACTCATCAGACACTGGATTTCACGATGCTTCAGATACGGTGTTGGTTCTGAACTTTCATTCGTCATCAGGATGCGTATCCTATTCATGATATCTGTCGGTCCCTGCTCCATCCTCAGAGGCAGCGTGCAGATTAGCCTACATATACAGTGTACACTTTTTGGTCTTTTAGACGCCGAGGAAAAGCCTGCCACATCATCCGCAGCGATGGCGGTGTCCAACAAAGGCACGAAGACCTGGCCTGGTATACCATCAACTCCGGTCGGTCCATCCATCTAAAGAGCAGCCACCATCCAAAACCACCAAAGATAGGATACACAATGGAACAAGACATCCTTCCTCCAACCAACTCTTGAGCGAGTGAAGGTTGAATCCAACAAGGAGTGTAGATGACTCCGATATCCACAAACAACCCACTTCTGGTCGCTGTCGAA